GGTGGACTAACTATTCCAACCATTTAAAACATGTTCCAAACATTGTAAGACACTTAAAAATGAGCAAACACAGACATCGGAAAGCCATTCAAAAGATCTGAAGCCGGCTTCAGTGCTTTTGAATGGCTTTCTGTTGGGGAAACATTGTTTCACTTAGCGATGTTTCCTATGGGGATTTTCGCTTAAGGACGTTAATCCGTTCCCATTGGAACGGATTAACCGGTTTTCAATGCATTCCTATGGGAAATGGTGTTTCACTTAACGATGTTTCCCATAGCGATGGGTTTTTTGGAACCAATTAACATTGTTAAGCGAGGCACCACTGTATATAATATTCAGTACTCTCCGGATAGCATCTCAAATTTGTCTTCCTGGCATAAACCCATATTGATCTGTATGAACATATTTAGTTACAAAACTACTTAATTTTTGTGCCATTATTGTTGAAAAAATGTGGTCTTGATTTTGCAATGTTATAGGTCTGTAGGATGAAGGAAACATTGGATCTTTTTCTGGTTTTAATATAGTTATTATTCTGGCCGTATGCCATGACTCTGGTATTTTCTCACCTCCCAAAATTGAGTTGAATAGCTTTAGAAGATGTTCTATGACATCTTATTCCCATACTTTATAGAAATCAATTTGTTTACAGAATATAAAAAGAAAAATGCAAGGGAAAGAAGAGTTTCAATGTCTTATGCAGGTGGATAACAGTGTCAAACAAAAAGAGGAAATCCAGACAACTGTCTTGCCCCTGCCCCTCTTTCTTAGTTGGGCTATCATGCCTTCAATAACATTCAGAAACAGTCCCCATGCAGCATTTCCTCTCTCTGTAGCTCTTGGGTTGTAAGTGAGATGAACCAGGGAGCAAAACCAAGAGTCCTGTGGACCAGGGGAACTGACCCACCTAGTTTAACACCTTGTGTGCAAGAGCCACCAAGCTGCAAGCAAGGCAACAAGGCACTCTTCCTCCCCCATCCTTTCTCCCTGACATTTGGGTCTTGGATGTACGTATAGAGTATAGCTCTGTAACGTGGAGACAGCATTCGATTACTATCACTTCTAAGCAGCCTTAGGGAGATCAAAGGAGAGATCAAGCGAGGACTGTGTGGCCCTCCTGGCAGTCTGCAATGCCCACCCATGGATCCCACTGGCTAGGACTGGTAAGTGAGTACTGTATGGACGTTCAAAAACAGCCGGTAGGCCTCACATTCCCAAGCCCTACCCCAGAGCTTTGAAAACAAACAAACAAATGGGCAGGGCTTTCGTTGTCGTTAAAGACACAGCCCTCAATGGCAGAACTAGGGGCAGCAGCGGTACACAGATTTTGTATAATATTAATATCTGGCAATTATACTCTACATTTGCAGTTGTTTTCTGGTTCTGTTTGGCAGTTTTACATTATTTCATCTTCCAGGAAGTAGGCTGTTGCTGCTGTTTCCTTCAGGAAGAAAAAGACAGTAGTATCAAGGCATGTTTGCGACGTTCCAGGAGTAAGATGGGGTGGTGGTGGAAGAGACGAGAGGCAGCAGGACTTCCCTACCTGTCTTCAGAGAAGACGTCTAAGATCACTCTTTCCACTGATCTTCTTCTCCTCCCCATCTTTATTCTTGAGTGATAAGACTGCAGGTGGACAGTTCTCTCTCTCTCTCTCCCTCTCCCTCTGTGGAAATACACTGCAGCCCAAATGGCAGGAGAAGATGGAGGCAGATTGATGGTGCTAAAGCTGCTACAGTGTGCATGCTTGATGTGGATTTAAATAGATACCTTATGCATTCATGCTCTCTGTCTCTCACACACACAAACGCCCTCCAATCACGGATACGCGCAGGATCCTAAAGGAACAAAACGACCCACCCCTCGACTACCTGCTTCGCCCCTTCCGTGAACTCGTGGATGCTGAACTCCTGGTCGAAATAGGCACGGATGAGGAAGATGTAGAAGCGGCTGCGGAGCCAACTCAGAGGGTTGGGGATCTTCACCATGAAGACGGAGGGTTTCCGCTGCCCGTCTCTCTCCGAGTCGCTGCTGTAGAATCGCGCGGGGGGCGAGCAAGAGGCAGCCGCCCGGTGGGCGAAGGGGAGCCCGGGCAGCCCCGGC